AAATCTACGATTAATGGGAGGGCCTTTACTTTACTTTTACTTTTAGTGAAACACCATGAGTACAGTTATAGACTTATAAATTTTTGTGCTTGGGTTTCAGTTATACAATGATCAAGTACCCATCCCTCCACCAGTGCCCATCCTCCACCACCATGAGTCCCAGCATCCCTCCCCCCCCGTCTCACCCGCCTCTGGCAGGGCATTCTCCCTTGTTCTCTCTTTCTTCTTTTGGGTACTGTGTTTTGCAAGAGAGGCATTGAGTGGCAATCATGTTTGGTCTGTAGACCACTCTCAGCATGCTTCTCCCGCCCTGGGAGGGTCCTCACAACACCCTTTATTTGGTGCTCTCTTCTCCATCTGAGCTTCCTTTTCACCTAGCACGTGTGGCTGGAACATAGGCACATTTTTTAAAAACTCAAGATATATTAAAAAATTATCCTCTCATCCAGTTCATTCCAATGTCCTCAAAAGCGAGGAGCAAGTATTGTAGAAGCCGGGTTGGGGGTGAGGTGGAGGAAGCTGCCGCTCATTACTTTGGGAAAAAAATTGGTGGTTATATGTATGTATATATTCACATATATGTGGATGTATATATATACACATATATATATTCATACACATATATATTCATTCCTATTGGATCTTTAAATTCCTATGGGATGGTTTGACAATGTTTCACCACACGAAGGGATGGGTAGTTTCCCATTCTGTCCCTGGGTTTGGGAGACGACCAGCACAGCTTGGGGGATGAAGAAGAGCCTCACTGTTGTTTTGACTTGCATTTTTCTGATGATTAGTGGTAAAGAGCATTTTGAGCATTTTTAAAATATGCCTTTTGGCCATTTGTATTTCTTCCTTGAATAAGTTTCTGTTCCTCTCATCCCCAATTTTTGATGGGGTTGAATTTTTTTTTAATTGTAAAATTCTACCAGTGTGCTTTATATATGTTGGATATTAGTGCTTTATCAGATGAGTGGTGGGCATATAATTTCTCCCAATCTGTGGGCTCTTTGTCTTCTTAGTTCCTGGTTCCTTTGAGATAAAGAAGATTCTTAATTTAATGTAGTCTCATTTGTTTATCTTTGCTTCCACTTGTTTGGTCAATGGCATTTCATTCTTTAAGATGCTCTAGCTTCAGTTCATGGAGAGTTCTGCTTACATTTTCCTTTATGTACCTTATGGATATCTAGGTCTTTAATTCGTTTGATTGAACTTTTGTACAAGGTGTTAGGAAGAGGTCTAAGTTCATTTCTTAGCAGTTGTTCTAATATTGTACTCCCTAATATAAAGAAAAAGAAAGAAACACTGTCCTCCCATTGTTCATCGATTTGCTTGAGCGGGCCCAGTAACGTTTCCATTGTGAGACTTCTTGTTACTGTGTTTGGCATACTGAATACTCTCGGTAGCTTGCCAGGCTCTCCAAGAGGGGCAGAGGAATCGAACCCGGCTCAGTCGGGCTGACTGCGTGCAAGGCAAACGCCCTACCGCTGTGCTATCACTCCAGCCCCTAATATAAAATAATATAATATTTCCTCATTGGATACATACCTATTTAGAAGTATGAGTGCTTCCTGATATATATATCACTTGATCATTAAGAAATAACCCTTTCTGTCTTTTTTTTTTCTTTTTGGGTCACATCTGGCGATGCACGGGGGTTACTCCTGGCTCATGCACTCAGGAATTACTCCTGGCGGTGCTCAGGGGACCATATTGGGATGCTGGGAATCGAACCCGGGTCAGCCGCGTGCAAGGCAAATGCCCTACCGGCTGTGCTATCGCTCCAGCCCCCTCTTTGTCTTTTTAATTTGTTTAAGCTACCTGAGGTCAATTTTGTCTGATACCAGTATGGGCATACCAGCCTTTCTGTGGGGATTGTTTGCTTGAAATATTGTCTTCTAACCTTTGACTTTGAGTCTATGTTTGTCCTAACTCTGAAAATGTGTTTTTTATAGGCAGTAGAAGGTTTGATTCAGTTTTTGAATCCATCTTTCCACTCTGTTCCTCTTAATTGATACATTTAGACCTGTCACATTGAATGAAATTATTATCAGGAAATTTTTTTTTTGTGCTATTTTCCTGTAGAAGTTTGGCATGTTTGTGACATTTGTCTTGGTTAAGTTTTTGTAAGGTTCTTGTAAGATTGGTTTTGAGTCTATCAAGTTCTTGAGCTGTTGTTTATCTGAGAAGCTGTGTATCGTTCCTTGATATCTGAATGAGAGTGTGGCTGGGTGGGTATTCTTGGTGAGGTGTTCATTCCATTAAGGGTTTACTATTATTTCCCCATTATCTTTGGGTCTGCAGGATGTCGTTTAATAAAATTGCTGTAATTTCCTTTGTTTAACTTGATACTTTTGGTATTCTATCTATGGTTTTTAATCATTCTGATAAAGAATGTGACTTAGGGTTTTTTAAAATTAAGTCTTTTTTAGCTAGTCCCCTTTGGCCCTCTTGAGTCTGGGCGCATACACTCTTCAACTCTGGATATTTCTCAGTTATTATTTCTTTGACTATTGCTTCTTTAATGGAATTTCCTTCCAGGTCACCTGGAACCCCCGATGACTTTTATGTTGTTCCTCTTGGATTTGTGCCATAGTTCTCTTGTCTGCTTTTCATTTATTACGTGGATGTTTTGCATCTTTTGCTGTTTGGAGGTTTTTTTGTACCTTGTCTTGGAGCTCACTGATCTGTCCTCAGCTGCTGTTACTCTGCTGCTGAGATCTTCCCATGAGTTTTTCATTTTCACATACTAAACTCTTTAGTTCTGTCATTTCTGCTTGTATTTTTCTCATTGCTCTCATAATTTGCTTGTATTTTATTTGCTATATGTTCCATTGAGTTCCTTAAACACCCTCGTCATTTCGTCTCTAAATTCCTTATCAAAGAGGTTAAGTAACTGGTTATTATGGTTGAGGCTTCAGGATAACATTCTTCCACACTAAGCGTGGTGGGATTCTGCGTTGCTTTCCCATTGTGTCTTTTGCAGTCTAGAGATGTTTCTTGTCTGTTATTGTGCGGCCAGGTTGTTGTTCTGTGGCCAGAGTTACGTTGTCATTGTATACTCACAGTGAGATTTGAGGAAGTGCAGTAATGTGAGCGTGCTAGTGGCAACGCGCTGTGCAGTGACCTATCCTGGGCAAACAGAATGGAGGTGGCTCTTGAGTACTGATCCTAAAAGGCCTCTGGTCAAGACACTGCTGATATTATTGGGACTGGGCTAGAGCCAGGCTTGGTGGCCTACGGCCTCCCTTTCTTTTCTGATGGGTCCTGACAAGGGAGATGAAATGGTGGATGGCTCCTCTGATGCAGTATTTCTAAGAACAGATTTACTGTCTAAGTTCCATAGTGCAAAGAACTATCTCTTTGTTTCATAATTTCTGGGTTCAAACCAAGGTTTTGAGTTTTACTATTTTTTAGGCAGGGCTTCAGATAGATGTGTCTTTAGTTGGACTGCCACTAGGCCGGGATCTCAGCTTTGTTTACCCTATGCCTTTTTTTTAAAAAATTACTCAAGGAAAGTGTCAATGGGTCGTATATGTCTTTGAGAGGTAGGAATTAGGGGAGATGAGATTATAAAAATACAGACAATAACTGATACTATGCTGTGCTACTTTCTCTACTTTTGTGCATTATAAAATTATAGAAATTAAAATTTTTTAAAAAACAAAAAATATGAAGAGTGGTAATATTTATTATAATTGAGGGACATTACATTATTTTATCTTATAGTTTTGGAACATTTTGGAATTTTTGCAGTGAATTTGTAATAATCTTTTAAAGTTGAACAAAGGAATATGTTGTTATGACTGGTAGTATACTGGGAAAGTGATTGTGTGACCTTGGGAAAGTGTCTTTGTGACTGAGAGAGAATTAAAAGTGAAAGGCATGTTTAACAGAGTAAGTTGGCTACTCAGTAAATTCTTTCAGATAAATGACCAAGGAATTAAATAAATACTTACCCAAAACATACACAAGAATGTATATCAGGGACCAGAGCAGTAGTACAGATGGTCTGATGCTTGCTTTGCATGTAGCCAACCTTGGTTTGATCTTTAACACCCTATATGGTCCCCCGAGGCCTGCTGGGAGTGATCCTAAGCTCAGCCAGAAGAAAGTCCTGAGCACTGCCAGATGTAACCCCCCAAAAACTAAAGTTTACGGTAGCTCTTGTAATTCCCTCAAATGAAAACACCCCAAAATTTTACTTTAGAACAGAAATATTTCATATAAACAACTGTAATGAGAATTTAATTGAATTCTCACATATATATTATAGCAGTAATGAGTGTTATAAACTCAATTTGCAATATATAAAGTATTATAAACCAGACACAAAAGGATATTTGTTATTTAATGTATATAAAATTCAGGCTGCTCTTACAGGTCAAGGTAGTTGTTATCCTTATTTAGATTTGTGACTAGGAAAAGGTCACACAATGGACTTCCGATATTCAGGCTCTGTTGCTTGATCTGGGTGCTATTTACTTAGATGTGTTTGTCAGTGAAAATTTATTGAACTGTAACTTATGATGTATATATTTCTTTGATGATGGAGAAAGGAAAGCCTATGGCAGAGATGGTACTACCCAGGATGTTTATATAAAATAAGACAAGTGACTTAACTCTCTGGAACAAAAAACCACATTCTTTTTTTGCCCATTTTCTTTAGGATTTTCCCAGTCTTTTTCTAGGAAAGCATTGCAGGAGGTAAAAATGATGCTAAGAAAGCTTATTTGGGAAAGGAATTGTTCTTGTAGCATTCCCTTTTGGAGACTGCTTTTAGGTTTGGGGGACTACCTGAGTTGCCAGGAATTGAATCGGGGATTGACTGCATACGTGACAAGTGCCTTAATCTCTCATCTCTTTGGCCCCATAAAGACTTGCAGGATGAGGGTACTCCCAATGAACTAGAAAGGTCTCTCACTAAAGCCAGTCACTAAAATATTAGGAAAGTGAGTGTCTTTTCATTTGGACTATTGCATACTTATTATCTTTTCCAGAAATGGCAAGTCTTTTGAAGACATCATCCCTAACTGTCAGGACAAAATTGCTACACCAGTCAGCACTTTATAATACATCTCATGGCTTCCATGAGGAAGAAGTTAAAAAAAAGCTAATGCAGTTTCCTGGTGGATCTGTTGACCTTCAGAAAGAAGAGGATGGCATTGGCATTCTTACTCTGAATAATCCAAGTAAAATGAACGCTTTCTCAGGTATTGTATGTATTTCTTCTGCTAGGTAAAGAACGACACAAAAATCTAATCGACTGTTACGTGATTTTTCTTACTCTGGTGACAGAATTTATAGAGGAAAAAGAATCACACAAAGAAGTCACACAAATTATCTACATTTGAAAAAAGTTTTATTAAATCACCATGAGATAAACAGTTACAAATTTGCCCTGATTGGGTTTCAGTCATACAATATTCCAGCACCCATTCCTTCACCAGTGTACATTTCCCACCAACAGTGTCCCAAATTTCCCTCCTACTCCCTACTCCACTCTGTCCCTATGACAGACACTTTTCTTCTCTTTCTCCTCTCTCCTTTCTCTCTCTCTCTCTTCTCTCTCTCTCTCTCTCTCTCTCTCTCTCTCTCTCTCTCTCTCTCTCTCTCTCTCTCCTTTTGGTCTCTGTGGTTTGTGGTACAGGTACAGTAAGATTATCATGTATATCCCTTTACCTACTTTTAGCACTCAATTCTTGTCAGATTGATCATTTCCAATTGTCATTGTCATAGTGGTCCCTTCCCTATCCTAATTTCCTCGAATTTTCTTCTCTACCATGCCTTCACTTGTGACAAGCTTCCAACAGTGGGCCAGTCCTTCTGTCCCTCATTTCTATTGTCCATGGGTAATAGTCTCATACTGTGTTTTTTATATCCCACAAATGAGTACAATCATCCTATGTCTGTCCCTCTCCTTCTGACGCATTTCACTCAGTATGATACTCTTCATGTTTATCCATTTATAAGCAAATTTTGTGACTTTATTTTTCCTAACAGCTGCATACTATTCCATTGTGTGGATGTACCAGTTTCTTTAACCAGTTGTCTGTTCTTGGGCATTCAGTTTGTTTCCAGCTTTTGCCTATTGTGAAGAGTACTGTAATAAAGATAGAAGTGCAGATGGCATTTCTGCCGTCTGTTTTGTTTTTGCACTCCCAGAGTACATTCCCAGTACTGCCAACATTTTTAATTAATATTTTTTAGTCAGCATTTTAGTGATAAAAAAGCATGTATTCAGATGTTGATGGAAAAGTAACTCAGATTAATCTTGAGTATTTTTTCTCATTGGAATTTATTAACTTGTGTTAAGCCAGTGTCATCAGCAGGCAAGATGAAGGAGGTTTGAGAGCTATTTTTTAAAACTAGAGAGGAGGCGGAGAGAGAGAGAGCTCAATAGGCTAAGCACTTCCGTTGCATGCTGGAGGCCTAGGTTTGAACTGGCACTGCTGATCCTTTGGGTACTGCCAGGAGTGACCCCTTCACACCAAGCTAGCATAGAGAGTAGTGCACCACCAATTGTGGCTGTGAAACAAAACACAAAATAAAAAACTAGAGAGGAAAAATCTGTCCATAAAAAAAAAAACAATTAGCTTAATTTCCCCCCTGTGAATTGAAATAAGGCTGTCCTTACTTTACGTCATTATTATTTTTTTTTGGTGTGTGGGGGGGGTGCCATCACAGGAGGTACCAAGGAATCCTGGGAGCCCCACCCAGTGATTCTTTGCCAGCTGCCTGGTGTTCCAGTGTGAGTGCCAAGTACCCAAGGACGAGGTGCTTTGGGGGCCCTGACATGCTGGGCACTACCCAGGCCACGCTGGCAGTGCTTGTGGGCCCCCAGAGCCACTACCTAGTGGTACTCGGTGACTTCCAGGACTGTACCCAGTAAAGCGCGGGGATGGTCAACTGCCCACAAGGTGTATGTAACTTAACCCCGTCTTACTTATCTTTCCAGTCTCATCATTGTAGCACCGACCTCCCGTTGTTCATTGATTTGCTCAAGCAGGCACCAGTAACATCTCCATCATGAGACTTGTTGTTACTGTTTTTGGCATATCGAATATGCCACGGGAAGCTTGCTGTGCGGGCAATATACTCTTGGTAGCTTACCGGGCTCTCCGAGAGGGACAGAGGAATCGAACCCGGGTTGGCCACGTGCAAGAAAATGCCCTACCTGCTGTGCTATTGCCGCGCAGTCCTATCATTGGATCACCAGGAATGATCCTTGAGTGCAGAGTCCGGAGTATCCCTGAGCAGAGCCACATGTAGTCCAAATATAAAATAAAAAACCCAAAATTAAAAAAAAACCCAGGATGCATAGGGGACCATATTGGGTTCTGGGGATCAAACCAAAAGTGGTCATATGCATGGCAAGCACCCTATCTACTGTACTATCACTTAGGCCCCCATTCATTCGTTTTAACCACGTAATTACAATAATCATTGAAAATACAGCATTTGGCAATTTGTTGACCCTTTCTTAATGTTTAGGTACTGCTATGTTTTGCTTGTATAAGGCAAGAGTCCAAGACAAGACTCTTGGTTTATGAGAATTTTATGATTAAGTCCTAGAGGCCTTTTTTTTTTCTTGTATATAAGGTCATTTGGGGAGGGGGGGCGGGAATCAAAGATTAAATTCTAATTATGGCATTATGTCTGGATAAAAGCAAAACCGTGCTCACTACCCAGCACTAGTATGTCAAAGTGGTTTTGGTCATCTCTGTCAGTTATGTGTATCATGGGGGTAAAAGATAATCTTCAGTTGCATTTGAAATCTACCCTATGGCACCAGTACAATAAACACTTGGTAGACAGTAAATATTTATAAAATATGTAACCTAAGTGTCTTGTTTTGCCCACCAGCTTCTAAATTATTTTTACTTTACTAATAGTGTATGTGTGTCTGATTGCCCTTTCTCTTTTCTGTTAGGTGTAATGATGTTACAACTTCTGGAAAAAGTGATTGAGCTCGAAAACTGGAAAGAAGGGAAAGGAGTCATTGTCCGTGGAGCAAAAAATACGTTCTCCTCGGGATCTGATCTGAATGCCGTGAAGGCACTAGGCACTCCAGAGGCAAGTGTTGCTTGACTGCTGAATTCTGTATGGTTACTCAGTACATGTAATTCTTTAGTTTATATTTTATTTATGTGGTTATTCTGATAACAGCCTTTATGGCCTTCAAAGTGACAGTTTTTAATTTTTACATTAAAATTAGGGCATAGTAGTGTGAAGTACCAGTGGAAAGAGAGAGAGAGAGAGAGAGAGAGAGAGAGAGAGAGAGAGAGAGAGAGAGAGAGAGAGAGAGAGAAGAATGTTAACAATAACTGGAGTTGACTATTAGAGTCACTAAGATTTGAATTTTTTTAGAAATTTTTTTTTGGTTGCTTTGGGGTCACATCCAGTGATGCTCATGGGTTACTCCTGGCTCTGCACTCAGAAATTACTCCTGTTGCTTGGAGGACCATATGGGATGCTGGGGATCGAACCCTGGTCGGCCGCGTGCAAGGCAAACACCCTACCCACTATACTATCGCTCCAGCGCCCTTTTTAGAAAATTTTTAAGAAAAAAATATTCATTTGTTTTGGGGCCAAACCCTGTAATGCTCAGGATTCTGGCAGAGTTGATAAGGGGGTCACTTCTGTGGTACTTTGGGAAGTAAGGGAAAGGGGATCAAACCTGGGTCTTCTTGTACTTCCATCCTTTGCACTACCTTTCTGCCCAGAATTTGAATTCTCCCTTAGCATATAATGATAAGCTATGTTATTTGAGAGGCTTAGTATTGCTCTGATATATAATAGGCTTTAGTAAATGGTCATTTTTTTTCATTTCATTTCATCATCCTGTTATTTGTCGATTGCCTCGAGCAGGCCCCAGTAACGTCTCTTTCATCCTAACCCTGAGATTATATTCAAGGCTCTTTAGGAGAATGAGACCCATCATTGTTACTGGTATTTGGCATATTTGGTAAGCCACAGGGAGTTTGCCAAACTCTGCTCTGTGGGCAGGCTACATTAGATAGCCTGCAAGTTTGTCCAAAGTAGGAATGAGATAATAAGATGTCATAAAAAGATGTAAATGGTAACAATGGAAAATGGTAACAATGGAAAAACATTATCCTGATAGAAAAGAAACATTATCCTGATAGAAAAGAAATCCTAATCATTTTATCATTCATCCTAAAATCTATTTTCCTTGAATTTGTTTATCTCTCTACCCATATTCTTCTAGGTTTAAAAAAGAGAGAAATGAAAAGAAAAAGAAAAGATGATATTTTTTTGCTTTTTTAGATGTATGGTATCTGTGGGTAATAATTTCTTACTGACATTCTGCAACTCACATCTGTAGCACTGTAGCACTGTCCTCCCATTGTTCATCGATTTGCTCGAGCGGGCCCAGTAACGTCTCCATTGTGAGACTTGTTGTTACTGTGTTTGGCATACCGAATACGTCATGGGTAGCTTGCCAGGCTTTGCCGTGCCAGCGAAATACTCTCAGTAGCTTGCCAGGCTCTCCGAGAGGGGCTGAGGAATCGAACCTGGCTCGGCCAGGCTGGCTGCTCGCAAGGCAAACGCCTTACCCACTGTGCTATCACTCACGTCACTGTATATAATGCATGATTTCTTTTTGTGTAAACATATGAGGAGTGATTCCTAATTTGGTAAATCAGAGCACTGATTTGGCAGATTTGTGACCAAGTGTTTAGATAAATTTTTGTCTTTTTTTTTTTTTTTTGGTCTACACCTGGCAGTTCTTAGGGCTTACTTCTGGCTCTGTGCTTGGAGATCACTACTGGCAGTGCTTGGGAGCCCATATGGGGTGCCCAGAATTGACACTGGGTATGCCATGTGTAAGGCAAGTGCCCTACCCTCTGTACTATCATTCTGGTTTCCATGGCTCAGCTATTTTTTTTTAATGTAGTTGATCCCTTAAGTGCTAGAAGAAATGCAGGGAAAAAGGAATTCCTATCCACTATTAGATTAGTCATCTAGTTCAGCTCTATAGAAAACAATATTATATAGACTTCCTTAAAAATTAGGCATTTAACTTCCATGTGATCCAGCAATTCCATTCTTGGTGTCTATGTCAGAAGCCTAAAACAGATGTTTCACAAAGATATTTGCTTTTCTATATTCATTGCTGTGCTTTTTATTCACATAGTCAAGATCTGGAAATGGCCTCCGTGCCTAAGACAGAGGAATGGATAAAAAAAATTGTGGCATGTATACATAACGAAATACACTCAGCTATAAGAAAATAAGGAGATCATGTAGTTTTCTGTTACATGGATGAAACTGGAGAGTATCATGCTGAGTGAAGTCAAAGGGAGAGAAATGGTCTCTCAGATTGAATGGTCTCTCATATGTGGAATTCAGAGAATTAGTAAGAGAAGTAAAAAATGGCCAATGGTAACAGCCCCTGAGGGCAGGTATACAGAACTGAGTTTGAAAAGAGGCAGCCACGGGTTGGGGGGAGGGGGGGGGTGGGGGGGTAGACAGTGAATGGGAGCATACTTGGGGACAGTGGGGCTCTGATGGCTTGCTGATGGTGGGTGTAGTGTTGGGGAAGGTATGCCCAAAGCACTGCTGTTAAGAATATTGTAAATCACAATGGTGAAATAAAAGTTGGTGGGGGTGGGTGGGTGGCTGGTTTCCTTTAGTTATCCTTTATTTAATGAGCAGGAAATGAGCTTGAATTATCTTTTGTTAATCACTTAAACCTTTCCTTACAAGTTTTGGAGATTGATTTGCATAGTAGTAACATTGTCCCCCCCAAAATTATAAAATATAAAATAGGAAGAAATCTAATGAGTGTTTTTTTTTAACTTGAATTTGGTACCTTAAACTTTCTATAAACTGCAGGCAAACTCTTTTCAGAAAACAAATAATTAAAATACAATTTTAGTTTTTAAGTGATGAAAAAAATTAAGTCTGTAGTATTCTGCAGGCTTTGCTAGTCAAGGTTATGTCCTAAGGAAAAATTTGGCATTTTGGAAACCTTTGTAAGCAATTCAGCTTGATGATATCTTTCCTCAACACCCCTGTCCGTCCTTCACCCCCATACCCCCATGCCAATTCTTTTTCCTTTCTGCAAATCTATTGTACTTTCTCTTTATTATTTAAATGTGAATACTGGTGTGTATCACTGGTGGCTCACACTTGAATGTGATTTTATTTAACATAAACTGCAGTGATTTCAGGGTTCTGGCTTGACTTCTTAGATTTTGCCACTATCATTGTATACTTCCATTTCAGTCCTTAATTTATGGACACACTTTTTTTTTCTGTCTTTCCATATATTATAAGGAAATAGTTAAATGTATACATCAGTACTTAGAAAGAAAGCTTTGCTCACTTATGGATCTAGGATGGTATTTTTCCAGGCCCGGCATTTTTTTCACTCAGCATGAATGTAACTTAGAGTAAATATTAAGTTAATATTTTCTTTTTTCAATAAGTTGAACACTGATTCTTACCAGTGTGGTACTGGGAAGAGTTGGAAAGAGAGTTTGTGTCTTAGAGTATCATTATAGACATGAAAATATGTCTAAAACTAGTAGTTCTGAAAACATTTTTTTTCTTTTGGTACTTCCAAGCTTCCAGTTTATGTATTTCACTGTCGATGCAGGTCTAACTTTTCTTTTGGTTCCTTTTCCCCAGCTTATTCCATCACAAGTAGGGGTTTATTTTTCTCATTGACTTTTCTTTTTTAAAACATTTTTATTATTAGAGTTTAACAAGATGACAGTAATATGAATGCTTATAAGATTGATGTATGCAGTTACCACACCTGAGCACCACCAAGTGCCCAGGACCAGCTACCAATGACGTATCATTTCTAGTCTTCTACATGATGCCCATTCACCTCTCTACTCTCCTCCCCTGCCACACCCCAGCCCCACAACCCCTGTTGGGCAATCTCAGTCTGAAGAACAAAATTTTGAAGACTTTGGTGTCATTTGATACTGTCCATTTTCCATGTGGTACTTCTCTGCATACCACAGATAATTGAGGTCATCCTCTATCCTTTTCCCTTGTATTTCACTTTATGTGACATCCTTTCTCTCCAAGTTACAGCAAATTGAATCAATTCATCTTATAACTTCATGATATTTCATTGTGTATATATGCTAAAACTTCTTCTATCATTGGATATTTGTTTCCAAATAGTTACATATTAAGTGCTTCAATGATCATAGTGTGTGAATCTTTTTTAATTGTGTGTGTTTGTTTGTGTGTGTATGTGTGTATTTGAGGGGACTGATGCAAGAAGTGGAATTCTAGTTCCAGGGTCATATGTGATCTCTATTCTTATTTGAGAAATCTCTACAGTATTTTTAGTATTTTTTATAGGTCGCCCCTTTCTTGTGCAGATTATTTAATAGTGAACTAAATACAATCCTTGTAAGAGAGATTGCAAGTACTACAACTAAGTTATAATAAAAAGTTAAAGTGATATTATAATAAAAAATTAAAGTAAAACAGGAGAAAACTATCGTGCAGGAGTTTTCCATATCTTGATGGAAAATACTTGATATGAGCCTTTCTTTAAGTCAAAGTATAGTTTATTTCAAATAGAGAGGGCAATGGAGCAAAGATACAAGAACAACAAGTGTAAGGTGTTAGAAGAATGGTAAGATTTTGACCAAAGTTAGGGTATTTTAGGGGCATAGTCATCCGTAAATCTGGTAACATAATTTGACATCAGTTAAGGTTGTATTCTTTTGCAATATGATATCATCACTGGATAGGAAGTTTTATCAGGCAGAAAGGTGCAAAGTATGTTGAAGAGGTAAAAGAAATTAGATAGTTTAAAAAGAAAACTTTTGTTTTGGTGCCGAACCCAGATTGGGCAGGGGAGGTACTCTCTACTTTTCATTCTGGGCTTGCTCCTGTGTTGCTTGGAGGATCATATGGTATTGGGGATCAAACCAAAAATTCGAGTAGAACGAAAAGCATGTGCTCCAGCCCTTTCAGCCATTTATCAGGCTCCAGAGTTTGAAATACTTATAAGAAACATATTTAAAGAGTTTGCAATTTGTGTAGCTACCAAGATGAGAACCTCAGTAGTCTGGGGAAATAACCTATGTAGAATTATATACTAGGAATAATTATACGCTGGAATAATATATACTGGGATTATATTTCCACAGCATAATATTTGCCATCATTTGATTACTTGATCATATGACATCCTGTTACTCATTGATTTGCTCGTGCAGGCACCAGTAACGTCTCCATTCATCCCTGTCACGTGCTAGTGTAGCCCAATGGTGTCTGCTCACTCCAGGGACACGAAGAACCTCAAACCGTTCATTCAGGTTCTTGACGAAGAAGTCTGACCATCTCGTAGGTGGGCAGCCACACATTCTTTTGACATCTGTTGGAATGTCAGTAAAGGCTCTAGTCCATCAATCATCTCCAAATCACACTACATGTCCAGCCCATCTTATTTTCGACGCCTTCGCAAACGACACAGCATCCCTGATTCTTAACCATCGACGGAGGTCGGAGCTCCGGATTTCTTCTCTGCCTTGAGTGAAGCAGGTTACTCCAAGCATAGCTTTTTTGATTCCTTTTTGGGAGACCTAAATAGCGTTCTCATCCTGTTTTCGTAGGGCCCAGGTCTCTGAGGAGTATGTTAATGCAGGAAGAAAAGTGGAATTGAAGAGATGTGCCCGGAGCTGTAGGTTATTTGTCCTTTTAGCTATTTCTATTTCTTCAACTCTCTTGAAGGTGTTCCAAGCCACTCTCTTCCTCCTGCGCAACTCAGGTGCCAGGTTGTTCGTCATGTTAAGTTCTTGACCTAGGTACACATACCTGCTGCATTCAGAGTTGTTTGTTCCATTGAGAGCGAATGGAATGTCAGGAACAAGTCTGTTTCTTCTGAACATTGTCCTGGTGAGATTCAATCTTTTCCTGCAGTCCAACCTTTCCACAATGACGGTCGAGGTCGGCCAGCATTTGTGCCACTTGGCTAATGTTTGGTGTTATTAGAACGATGTCATCAGTGAAGCGGAGGTGATGTAGTTGCCGATCATCTATCTTCGTTCCCATTCCTTCCCATTCCAGTCATTGCATGACGTTCTCGAGGGTGGCACTGAAGAGTTTTGGTAAAATATATCACCCTGCTGAACCCCTCTCTTGACGTGGATGATCACTTCCTTGTAGAATGGTGAGATCCTGGAGGATCCTAATGTATTGAGTTTGAACGTCCTGCTTGGCTAGGGCTTCGATCGCCACTTCCATCTCAACAAAATCAGAGGCCTTCTTTAAATCAGTGAATGGTAGACAGAGCAGCAACTTGAACTCCTGAGAAATCTCAATGAGCTTGGTCACCATGTGGATATGGTCGATTATGCTGAATCCTTTTCGGAACCGGGCTTGCCCGCATGGTTGTCCTTCATCTAGTGTTCTGTCAATCCTATTCAGGATGACTCGAGTGAACAGCTTGTAGACGACAGACAACAGGCAGATTGGGAGTTAGTTGCCAATGTTGTGAATGTTTCCTTTCTTGTACAGTAGTACAGTCATGCGGGTTTTCCACTGGGACGGAACCTTGCATTCAGACACGTTGCGTGTGAAGAGCCAAGCCAGTGTATTGATAAGTACTGACTGACGGCAGGTTCTTCAGGTGTTCAGGTCTGACCTTGTCTGGGCTGGGTGCTGTTCACTTCTTTACCCATGAAATGGTATGTCGGATTTCGGAAGGGAGAACAATAGGAACGACATATCCATCCTGCGGAATTTTGTATATGGGCAGGTGGACGTGGCTATCAAAGAGATCCGAGTAGAAATCATGGATAATCTTTTCCATTGCCCTTCTGGAAGATGTGATAGATCCATCAGGATGTCGTAGGGCAGTCATATTGGTCTTGTAGTTGGTGAAGGACAGGCGGGTGTTGCAAATGCTTTTCCCAGCTTCTGCCTCATCTGCCAGCACTGCTGCTCTTCTCCCTTTGAGGTCTTCCTTTATCGCTTCCCTGCACTGTTTTGTGAGTTTGGACATTAGCTTGTGGTTGCCTGAGGCTCCATAAATATTTGCTCCATAATATCTGCCATAATATTTACATGATGTTTTGTAAAGAGTTGTAAGAGATCAAATGTCATACTACATCATTTGCATTTTAGACAGCAGCAAATAATTTTCAATGAAAGCCTCACTTACAAGTTACATTATTTGTTTTATTGCTCTATAAATTCTGTTTTTGCCTTAAATGTTTGAAGTATTAAACTTTTTTATTTTTCTTATTTTAAGGATGGCGTGGCCTTGTGTATGTTCATGCAAAATACTTTAACAAGATTTATGAGGTAATGTCTCTCTCTCACTACAATTTCTAAAAAAACCAAAAATATCTTTTTGTTGTTTTTTATATCAGTTAAAATATATGAACTGATTTTCAAGTTATAAAATATGTTAACTGATTTTCAAGTTATTTTTATTCTTACGGTATTCATATAGACAATAGTAATTTAAATTTTATGAAATTTTGCAAGCATTTTTAATATTCATTTTGATAAGTATACTTTAAAGCTAAGATGTAAGGCAAAAAAAGACAATTTATATTACGGAGTTTAATATCTTAACAGTTTATATTACTATCTGTATTTAGAGACATGGGTAATGTGAAATAAGGTTAATTAGAAGAGAATTGCTATTTTTTCCAGTACTATAGTGAGTTTTCCATTATGATCAACAAGCTTATCCTTTTTAGTGTTTGTTAGTATTTCATTTTGAAAATACTTTCTAAAGTGAAAAATATTAATACTCCACTTTTCTTTTTTCCCCTTATTACATAGACTTCCTTTAATAAGTGTTGCGCTTATTCAAGGAAGGGCAATGGGTGGAGGAGCAGAATTTACTACAGCATGTGATTTCAGGTAAGATGAAAATTGTATTCTCTTAGCATAAACATAATATATGCTATTTTATGGAATTTTTAACCTGAAATCTCATCCATAAACCCGATTCAGAACCTCTGTCTTTGAAGTAGATATTTTTACATGTGTTCTGTTTATCACTGTTTTTTTTTTATGTCAGAAGGTATTTCTTGTAGGCCAGAGAGATAGTACAGCAGGTACGGACATTTGGCATTGCATGCAACAAAAACCGGTTTCAATTCCCGACACTCCATATGGTCCCCGTAGCTTACCAGGAGTGGCCCAAAAACAAAGGAAAAAAATATGCTTCTTCTGATTACTCATGGAATTTTAAGAAGACTTTCTAATCTTTTGATATTTTTATATGTAAAGCAAAAATGTTTAATGGCTTATTGCAAAATGAAAGCCAGCATAAATGATTTAAAATGATAATCTGTATAACCAGGATACAGATCAAGAATTCTAACAGTGTTAATGAAATGAAGCCCTTCATTTCTTCCTCAGGGAAACTATTTTCCCGAACGTATATCTTTTTAGTTACATAATAAATTGTTCCTTTTTTTATTTCATAAAGGACACCATATAAAGTGTGTAAAAAAATTCAGTAAACTATGCAAAGTACGGGCTGGAGCGATAGCACAGAGGGTAGGGCGTTTAACTTGCATGCGGCCGTCCTGGTCTACCGAAGTTCGATTCATCCGCCCCTCTCGGAGAGCCCAGCAAGCTACTGAGAGTATCTCGCTCACATGGCAAACCTCGCAAGCTACTGGTGAGGTATTCGATTTGCCAAACACTGTAACAACAAGTCTCACATTGTTACTGGGCCCTCTCATCAGTGAGCAGCAAAACCATGAGCAACGGAGGACAGTCACAGTGACAGTGATGCAAAGTAATACATTTTGTATTTTTTATAATCATGTTTGTTTCAGTTTACGATTCAAAATATATGACTTTGTCTTCACATAGAGATGTTAAAATATTTTTTTGTATTACTTTACTTACTTTACTTTAAGAGAATTTTCAAAGAGCCTAGTCCTGTTGAAAACTAGAACTGGAGGATTCTCACTTGATAGTGCCCTCTGCTGTCATCAGTGCAAATTGCATTAGTTTCTTCATTAGTTTAGAATTTGTTGGTTTTTGTTTTATAGTAGGAAACATGCTGTGAAACTAATTAGAAAATGTACATCTGTGAAGAGACTAAAAGCCTTTATCATTTTAACCTGAAATTAGGTACTTGTGAAATACGTAATTTAAATACATAATTTTAATGTGATAAAATATTCAATGTTTACTACAGTTAATGAAGTTATATAAGTGTGCATTATCAATTAAAGATGGCCTTTGGAGAGACTCTAATGTTACAGTCTAGTTTCATTTCTAAGCAGTTTTGTTTTTTAAGACTTTTGTATCACCCTTCATGTTCTTTTCTGATCTGTGGGAATAGTTAGTGTTTATGACTAAATTTAGGCAAAAATTATAGGAAAAATGATCAGAGGCTGTTGTCTTTCAACAGTGCTAATTTGTCTTGTCTTATTCCCTAAATGAAGTGTCACATGTCCTAGTTTTAGTTATGAGATGTCTGAGGATACTGGCCTCATTTGATGTTATCTTCTAACATACTATGTATATTCACATTGCTTCCAGGCAGATATTCTATTTTTATGGACCCATTTTTCTGGGCTTGGTGGAACTGGGGGCCTCCAGGCTCACACCTGGCAGTGCTCACGGCAGGGCAGTCATTCCCAGCGATGCTCAGCATGTGTTGCTAGGAACTGAACTCAGGTGAAGCACATGTGTCCTAACTGCTTCACTGTCTGCTGGCCCCAGACCAGTGGTTTTCAACCTTTATATACTTGTGAACAAGTGTCAGTCTGTGGGCCAGAGGTTGAAGACTACAAGTCTAGGGACAACTTTATACTGTCTCACTAGCAGAAACATTGTTTTTTTCTGTAGTTACTAGAACAGTGTTTTGTTTTATATGCACATAACACACACATTTGTAGACACAAATACATGCACATGCATACATAATCCCCCCCCCACACACACACACACACAACCCAGAGTAATACAAAAGAAAACAGAACTTATTCCAGTTTTGCTGTCAGCATAATCACATTACAGTAGTACCAGATAATTGCATTTTACCTCTAGAACTAAATTTTTTTCCCCTAGAACTAAATCATGTGTAATTTAGTAAGGTCTATCAGAAAAGTTTCTATTTTGAAGTATATTTGGTAATTGGAAAATTTACCTATTTTATAATATTTAAATTTTTATTTTTAAACTTCATGGAGGGCTGGAGCGATAGCACAGCGGTAGGGCGTTTGCCTTGCACGCAGCCAATATGGCCGACCTGAGTTCGATTCCTCCACCCCTCTCGGAGAGCTGGGCAAGCTACCGAGAGTATCTTGCCCGCACGGCAGAGCCTGGCAAGCTACCCGTGACGTGCTCGATATGCTAAACACAGAAACAAGTCTCATGATGGAGACGTTACTGGGCCCGCTCAAGCAAATCGATGAACAACGGGAGGACCATGACCAAACTCTATGAAAGGCTACCACCTGAATATTCCATATCTTTTACTAACAGAATACCCGGTTTTGAAGATTAATAATTTTATTAAAAGTATAAAACATTTAATTGATTTTTAAGGTTGTATTTACTCGAGCGGGCCCAGTAACGTCTCCATTGGAGACTTTGTTGTTACTGTGTCTGACATATCGAATACTCTCGGTAGCTTGCCGGGCTCTCCGAGAGGGGTGGAGGAATCGAACTCGGGTCGGCCATGTTGGCTGCGTGCAAGGCAAACGCCCTACCCGCTGTGTTATCGCTCCAGCCCTAAGTATTAAATGTAGAGTGCCATAGCAGTAGCTAGAAGGGCTAAGAGCACATGCTATGAATGTGTCGCAGGAATCACAGGTTTGATTCCCAGCACCACATGGGCCTCCAAATACTGCCGTGAGAGTACCAGAGCATCACGGGGTATGACCTCCAAACAAAACATTATTACATAATCATTCACTTAGACACGATATAATGAATATGAGATTTGATCACAACAGATATTTTTAAAAGATCATCTCAATTTGTTCAGTTTGAAAATATTTTTCAAAAAGGCATCTTGTGAAATATAGCAAAGGAAAAACAGCCATGTGGTATAGATGGTACTCTTCACGCAGAATTACAAATGTACATGATTAACTTTTATTGTCATAATCATTTGTATAATCCAACATACATACTATCCAACAACGGTTTTAGTAACTTTTATGTTCACCTGATTCCTAGCTCCTGACAATCATTTTTGTATTGTAGACGTAGCTCTTAGCCAGTATCAGTAATGTCTACCTCAATAATTTTTGATGTTCTATTATAACTGTGCAGTAACCCTCATAATTTTGCATTAGATCTAGACTCCTTAAATTTTCTCCTCTATTGAAAAATTATTTATTGAATCCTCCTATTTCCATGGTTATTTGCCTTCTAAAAACAATTGTTCATACTGAGGCAGATTTTCTCTTGTAGGAATTCACAGCTGTGAAACAAATTCTCTGACCCAGTAGGTTAATAAATAGGCTTTTGTGAGAATTCTCTACTGAAATTTTCTATTTAAAGGGTCAGAGCTTCAAAAGAAGAGTCTGTTGTTCTTGATGCTGATAGACCCAGACCACCTGCAGCTGAGCGCTTAACCACTTTGAACTTCAGATCTTTTTTTGCCATGAAGTTTGAAAGCAGTAATTTTTCTTAAAATATTAAAGTTCTGATATTATTGGTCCAAATTAAGGTTTTAAGATAATGAAAGTTTCTCAGGGAAGCATAGTGGAAATAAAAACTCACAGGCAGCATAACACGACAAGCATCCTTTTGATAGCATACAAATATTTAACTGTCAAGTGTGAAGTCCGGTACTTTGCCTTGTTTCTTTGTTGCTCCTTAATCATTCCACTTTCTCTTAACTGTTCCAATCACAAAAATCTCAAGGTTTGGGAAAAATGAATCCCTGCAAAAGGAATTCACCGACTCCAGTCCTCTGTCAACTTTCTTTAATGCTTCTATCCAACTCTAGCTAACTATTGTAATATACCGTGATATTATAAGTACTACACAGTGAAGCTAACTGGCCTTGGATTAAATGTTGGCTTGGCCATTTGTTGTCCATTTTCCCCACTATAAAACAAGACTATTACTGTACTTCATAGTCCTAAAGGTTATAAAGTTCCTTACATTGAGGAGTTATGAAGTGACACATAAATATATGCTAACAAAGCATCCAGGACGATCCTCAAAAGAATAAGTTGGATGGATGCTAATCACTTGTTGCCTCTTCTGGAATTTCATACTATAAAGTTAAACTTCACTGGTGTTAAATGTGCCTCCGAATTTCATCTGTTAATCTGTTTGCTCTATTTCAGCTACATTATTAGTGTATTCCCCGTAGAAGCCCAGCAGTTTTACTTCTAGGCCTGGAATTTAAAGTCCCTTTCTGAGCACATTCTTAATCCCAGCTTTTTACATGTTCATTTCTTGGAGAAGCTTTTGGGAGTGTTCAGAGGCTTTGTCCATTTGAAGTAACAGTCTCAAATTCTAGTAAATTGCCCTGTTTTTTTTTTGTTTGTTTGTTTCATTTTAGGCTGCAAATCACTGTAGAAAGATAGAACTTTGAGCTTTCTGAATTAAATATAGTTTGCAAAGTAAAAACAAAAACAAAAAATGTTTTTTAGAACGAACTGTTAAGTACTATGTAATAAGTTTGAATTCTAGACTTAAGCTTTCTGAACAATGGTTTTGACGTATCTAGATTAGCTCATGAATAGGTAGTACTTAGTGACTAAAGCATATATACTTTGTTACAATCAAGTTTTTCTTTTTCTTTTTTGCAGATTAATGACTAAAGGGAGTGAGATCAGATTTGTCCACAAGGAGATGGGGATAATACCAAGCTGGGGTGGTGCTACTCGGCTGGTTAATATAATCGGCAGTAGACAAGCTCTCAAAGTCTTAAGTGGGGCCCTTAAACTAGATTCAGTGAAAGCTTTGAACATAGGAATGGCCGAGGAGGTCTTGCAGTCTTCAGATGAAAATGAATCTCTACAAGAGGCACAAGAGTGGCTGAAGCAATTTACCAAAGGGCCACCAGAAGTAATCAGAGCAATGAAAAAGTCTGTGTCGTCAGTCAAGCAGCTTTGTTTTGAGGAGGCATTACAGACTGAAAGAGATCTTGTAGGCACGGTTTGGGGTGGACCTGCAAACTTAGAGGCGATTGCTAGAAGAGGAAAATTTAAATAACTTGAAAAAATACAAGTATAAACTCTCGTAATTAAAATGTATTAACAGTTATGTCAGATTTTGAAGTCTACTGTTAGTATCTTTCTGAACTTTTAGACTTTCTGAGCAATGGTAATCAGTATAGGCATTTGAACAATGGTAATGGTGATAGGTGACTGAATACCATTCTGAACAATGGTATAGATAACTGAATACCCGAACTTATTGACTGCCTCGTTTGCAGTATACTTGGGTCACTACAAAGTTTTGGTTTAAAAAAAATATAAATTCCTTAATTCTTATAGTTTTTAGACTATAACCAAAGATCCTATTGTTTACAAAGTCTATTCCTAAGATTAATTTTCATACAGATTTTATCCTATTTTATATATAACTTTCAGACCAATGATGAATCTTATAAGAACAAAAATGGAGAGGCAAGGTGAGGGATAAGAAGTCATTTTCTTCAGCTAGAATACGTAAGTCCTGGGGAATGGTACTTGATGCCTCCTTCCTCTACCCTCCTACAAATTTGGAGCTTTACTAATTTGATCATTTTAAGAATTTTCCATTTGAATTATGAACAATGATAATCATATGGTGAGTCTGCTATAAACTGGCGATTTGTGTGCTCTGGAATTTCTAAACGAGTAATTAAGTACTATTTACCATATAGTTACAAAGTTTAATTTTACATCAAAACTGCCTAAGTCTTCAAAGGGACTCATGAAGCAGCTTATGTGATATCGGGTTTCTGTTTTGTGAAAAGTGAATAACCCTTTTCAAGTAAATGTAACAAAAATACGTAACTCACAATTTTATGATCGCAGTAACACTTAAAAAAATATGATTCAAGTTAGGTTCCAATTCTAACCTGTCACCAGAAGAAAGACAATTTCAAAGTAGTGATAGTTTTTCTTTTCGACTGTAACAATGCACATCTAAAAATATTAAAAATTATTTACATAAATGCTTTATCAGTATGTTCTATTGTTTTTAAGTTTGGAATCGTATTTTTTTTATTGCTATTTTTAATGATGTTTGCAGTGCTATAGAAACCACCGCCAAAGTTCTAGTACCATCCCAACATACACCCTCAGAGCTCAGGACCTGAGCTCCCAACTCCAAACTTCGTATGTGTTATGTCAGGGATCAAATCTATGTCCTCATTTGTGTGAAGCACATGCCCACTTGAGTTAGCAAAACTTAGTAAGTCAAACTCAAAGTTGCTTTTATCTAGAACCCCCTAGCTAGATTACATATTAATTCAATACTTCATACCCTTGCCATAGATTTTACATATTGTTTAAAGTGAATGATCTATGATCTATTGATGCTACTTATAAATAAGCCTATGATTTAATTCACATTAGTGTAAGAATATAACTACTGAGATAGGCAAAGAAATAGTCTTTACTACCATATGAAATTTAAGTTTCACAGGCTGTAGGTTTATTATCATACACGTTTAATGTAGCATACTTCCCATGATTCTGTTTTTTCTCTATAAAGGAGTCAAACTTCTGTGCAAGTAGCACTGTACTGTATGTAGCACTGTCCTCCCATTGTTCATCTATTTGCTTGAGCGGGCACCAGTAATGTCTCCATTGTGAAACTTGTTACTGTTTTTGGTATATCGAATATACCACAGGTAGCTTGCCAGTAACTATTAAAATTGAATGCTATCAATTCAGACTAATAACATTTGCCTAAAGTTGTCAAAGTATTTCCCAGACTCAAATAAAAGACAAATTATTTTTGATAAACTCTAGAATTTATTAAATTATAAATCCTGTAACCAAAAAGAAAAATGCAGATCAAGAGAAATCTCAAACTACAAGGACTAGACAGCAAAGCCTATTGGAACACCATGAAGTATGTTATAAACAACATTCTGAAACATAAGTTATTAGCTGTTATCTTTACATTTCCATTTCAGTAACTTTACTATTAAATAGTTGTTATTCATCTATTTTAAAATTCCAATTCACATCTATCCTCACATTAAGGTTCTCTTTCGTACTGATACCAGACATTCTAGAGGTGCCAGATTTTAGTAATGGGTTTATGTCAATTCATGCAGAAAAAGAAGACGCGGTGCAAAGTCATGAGAACTGGAAGTAATGCACAGATAATACACACTGGCCAAAAGAACTGAAGAAATTAAAAACAAAACAAAACTGAACTATAAAATAAACAGACCTCAAGAAAACTGGGTTAATACAGCTCTCAACTATTAACACCCAAGTTCCTTACATTAAATAAATTTCTCAACAGAAACATGTTAGACTTTTAATTACAAGTCTATCCTTCCCATACCCCTTCCCACCCCAATTCCCAAAATGTACTACTAGGGATGAGTATAATGTTACATGGGCAGAAATTTACAGATAACCACTTTAACCTTGAGCATAGCGCTGAAGATTTTATTTAAACTTCAGTTACTGTGCACTGTCCATCAGGCCGCCTAGATCTAACGCTCACTGTTCCACCCCCTGCCACTGATCGATCATTTCCCAATTGATCTGATCTATCAGATACTGTCTGGTTTGCATTAGGAACCAAAAGTCTCTGTTGGATCAAGGACTGTTGTGCAACTAGCGCAGATACGTCCTCACTATCACTACTAGCATCCGATTCCGTTTCCTCAATGGAGGTGTCTGGTGCAGGAACCCTGCCTGAAGAGGGTGATTCATGATCTTCTTCTCCTTCTCCTCGATGACTCCTTTCAGTTATGCTATCTCCATTGAGCTGTAAATGACCAAAAGAGTCTTCTAGGGAAGTGCTTGCATCAGGGGATGGTGTTGCAGGACTTGTCAGCTGACCATCTACTGATGTCAGGGGCCTCACAGAAGATACCAGAGGCTGAACAGAAGCTCCACTTTGTGCTGATACACTGTCCGCTCCATCTGCAGAGTTCTCTCTTGCCAGGTTTACAGCACTAGCATCACAATCCAGTCTAAGTCCAGCGACTCCCTTCTTTGGTATATCTATGATATCCCGCTTAATCTTCCTGCGACGTCCATGTTCATTTCTCCTATACTGAACCATATTTTCAAGATCGGCAACATACAAAAACCCAGCAATTAACATTTCAGTGCTCTTTTTACCTTTGGAAAAAGCATCTTCTAGCTCTCTACTGGTACGCTCATCATACTGCCACCACCCATTTCTTCCTTCATAATACCAGGCATATTCACCATTTCCTCGGCTTGCTGCCTTGAGTTCTTCTGGTGACAGTAAGGTTGGCTTGTCAAGGAAATCCTCTGGAATTTCTTGTCTACAAAGAGCACATCGCTTTCCAAGCCATGAAGCTCCCTTCACACACAAATAGCAGAAAACATGCTTACAGGGTAGACTGACTGGGTGAACACATGTTTGCAGACAAATGGCACATTCAGGGACAGTTAGAGAAGGTGTGGTATTAGAACAGGACTCATTCGTTTTCCTGTTCGTAGGAAGCATATTTATTGAATGATCGATTTCACCACAACCAGCCATCCTAAGAAAATGAGAGAAAATACAGTATTAAAATACTTAAATTTTTCTAATATAAATTCAACAATTCAGAAGACACCAATTTAGTACAAGTGACATACTAAATAATGGCTACACAAATGATGAAAGTAGAGGGAATCAAATACAGGAAAATCTGTGTCTATTTATGTATCATTTTTACCTGCGTGGGGTAAAGGTAAAGGTAAAGGCCCTCCCGTTGATCGTCGATTTGCTCGAGCGGGCCCAGTAACGTCTCCATTGGAGACTTTGTTGTTACTGTGTCTGGCATATCGAATACTCTCGGTAGCTTGCCGGGCTCTCCGAGAGGGGCGGAAGAATCGAACTTGGGTCGGCCATGTTGGCCACTTGTAAGGCGAACGCCCTACCCGCTGTGCTATCGCTAATTGAAAGATGGGGGTGGGGTGGGGAAGAAGTAATCTGATTATATCTGGAGAAATAAAAAAAGTCAATGATAACCTTTTAGGATATCACATGTTTGAATTTTGCAAATATTCTTAGGTATTAGTATATTTTGGGTTCTTGACAAGAATATAGCCTGTATATTAAAATTTATACCTAACTTACATTTAAATGATTCAGTATAAAATTAGAAATTGAATCAGCATTAACTGAAATCCTAGAACTTCTCTATCTCTGCTTTATATCTAAAAAAACTGCTTACATCAGTTTTATTTCATTCTCCTGTCTAGTGAAATACTAAAGGCTTCAATTACTATTGCCATTTTCTAAATCTCATGCTTTTCTTGGTGTACTCCTTTAAGATGATCTCATTTACTCTCATATCACCTATATACAAATGACATACAAATTACCATCAGTTCAGGTCTCTCAGTCTTACACCTTGATTTCTAATTAAGATATTTTCTAATTAGATATTTCCTTAGATAACTTGAGTATCAAGGTATCTTGGATATCCTGCATAAATTCAATTTTATTTGAATTTTATTTCCTTATCTGTGCTCCACTAATGACACCACTAATCACCACTTATCTAAAAAACTCAACCCTGCCTGAAACTATTCACCCAAATGAGCAAGTTTTAGTAATTATCCCCTATCTTCTGAATCCACATTCTATATACTACTCTAGTCACCAAGTAAACAGTTTATTAAATTACTACATCACTGTCACTGTCCTCCCGTTCATCGATTTGCTCGAGCGGGCCCAGTAACGTCTCCATTGGAGACTTTGTTGTTACTGTGTTTGGCATATCGAATACATCACGGGGAGCTTGCCAGGCTCTGCCGTGCGGGCGAGACACTCTGGGTAGCTTGCTGGGCTCTCCGAGAGGGGCGGAGGAATCGAACTCGGGTCGGCCATGTTGGCTGCGTGCAAGGCAAATGCCCTACCCGCTGTGCTATCGCTCCAGCCTGAATTACTACATATCAAGCCTTATTCCTTTCACGCTTTAAAATTTGATCTTATATTAAGGATCAACAGGCTTTGCATAGTTTAGATTCCACCTTCACATCTGCCAGATCTCACTACAAATTTCCACTTCTTCAGGCTTAGAGCCATGATGGCTACTCTGTCTAATAAAAGAATTTTCTCTATGATTATTTTCCCAGTTCCTATAATATCCCACATCCCTCCTTATACCCATTTTATATTTACCTCTTGGAAAAGCCTCCATGACTAGTTCAAATCAAACTTAAAAAAAAAAACTTACTACAAGCCCTTCTTATTCTGAGCATTCATTTAAATAAAAATGTTACATTTACTTATTTCCCTTAAAAACACGCTCTCCCCCCTAACTCCCAGGTTTTCTAACTTCCCTTAAAGACAAGTAATACTCATGATGTTCTTCTGTGGGGGATCCAATGTTCACACTGGGTTTAATGCCTAGAAATCTACTATTTCAAAATCAATATAAACATCTACCCACCACCCAAAATCTGCTACCCAGAACTATTCTAAAACCTGGTTGCAATTGTGTACCCAAAAGGTCTATCAATATTCTCCAGGTACCTGACATTTAGCATGACTAAAAGCAAAATTATCTGTTCTTTCATACCTCCATCCTCTTCCTTTGCTCTATATCTTGGAAAAAACTTGGAGTCATCCTTAATGCTTTCCTATTCCTTCCCTGTTCTCTTTTCTACAACATAAACCAGAATATGTTTCCTCTATACCCGAAAACTGTGGCCTTAAGCCTCTTGGACATATAAGATCATGCAAAAGTGTTCTACCCCCCCACCAAGTCTTTTCTCCCTCTTATCTCTTCTCATTTGAATCATGTCTTAATTCAATCTTCAAGTTTCCTACTGGCCACATATCTAACCTGTATTTCTAAGAATTTGTCTTCAAGTACACCAGGGCTAGAGAGTATTTGGTCCACATGCCAGAGAAGGTCCAGTGTTATTAGGGGTTTGGACCTGGTACATGACAGCAGAGATATGTACACTTTTTGTCAGTGCAATCACCCATCTGCTTGTTCTGAATGACTTGTGAATCATGTTATAAATATTCAAACGGTCCTTGGAAGGAAAAAAGTTTCCCACGCGTGGGGCTGAAGAGATAGTAGAGCAGGCAGGGCTGTATACTGCCTTGCATGTGGCTGACCTAGGCTCAATTCCTGGCACTCACTGGATTCCCCAAGCCCTGCCAGAATAATTCCTGAGCACAGAGCCAGGAGTAACCCCTGAGTACTGCCAAGTGTGGTCTCCAAACCAAAATACAATAAAAAGTTCCCTACCCCTTAAATATACTGACACAACTGATGAAGGCTGAAGCCTTTTTTTTTCCTAAAGAATAAAACAAACTTAATATTCTGACTTCACTATTTTTTCTGTATTGACCAAAAACAGTATTTCACAGTGCTGGCAGTAAAACCCAGGGCCTCAAATATGCAAAGTATGCACTTTACCACTAAGTATATCCCCAGACCCTAAAATTACATGTTTTTAACAAATATCCCAGAGGATTATTTGCAGAAACCTCAGGGAGACACTAAATTAGGGAAAGTGGCTTCATTTTCCTAACTTTTCTTCATTAGTGAGATTAGTACTCCAACAGTGATTAAACAAAATAGCATGTTAGCATTGTCCTCCGCTGTTCATCTATTTGCTTGAGCGGGAACCAGTAATGTCTCCATTGTGAGATTTGTTGTTACTGTTTTTGGCATACTGAATATGCCACGAGGAGCTTGCCAGGCTCTGCCATGCAGGGGGGATACTCTCGGTAGCTTGCCAGGCTCTCCAAGAAGGACAGAGGAATCAAACCCGGATCAGCCACATGCAAGGCAAACACCCTACCCGCTGTGCTATCACTCCAGAAATAATCTGAGCTAAATATCTAGAAAGCACCTAGGAATATAGTAGATATCAAACACTCGCTTTACTTAAAATCTCTTTCTTTTCCACCATTTTACCACAGACTGCTTCCTGACTTTGTGATGCATATGTCGGTATTCCTTACTCTCCTGGTTTAAAAACTATTTCCTAATTTTCTCATGTTGTTAAAATTCTAATAATCCTAAAGACCAAAATAAGGACTGAGAAAATAGGTCAAAAGGCTGTCACAGGAGGTTCCAAACTCAATCCCTGGCACTAGAAAGCCCTCTCCAGCCCCACAAACCACTAGATGTATTCTGGTCATCTCTAGCACTTCACCAAATCAAATAAAATATTGACAGCCATGCTGAGGATCACGGGGATGGGGTGCAGGAGGTAGAAGGGGGATGGTGGTAGCTCCTGGCCTACTGAGCACTGCTTTTGTGTGTCCATCACCTCCACCTGGGCTGGAGTGATAGCACAGTGGGTAGGGCATTTGCCTTGCACGCAGTAATATGGCCGACCGGAGTTCAATTCCTCCACCCCTCTCGGAAAGCCCGGCAAGCTACCCAGGGTATCTTGCTTGCACGGCAAAGCCTGGCAAGCTACCTGTGACTTATTCGATATGCCAAACACAGTGACAAGTCTCACAATGTTACTGGGCCCGCTCAAGCAAATCGATGAACAACGGGAGGACAGTAGGACAGTAACAGTGACAGATTATCACCTCCACCAAACAGAAGCCAACAGAAAATTTCTGTTCATACGCAATACTGCAGATAGAATTAATCTTTAGTTCTCAAAACATTTTAATCTTAATATTGCATTTGTTCCACTACTCAATTATTAATTATGTATGTCTCATTTACTAGACCACAGTATAGGTTTCTTGATGGCTAACACCTGGACATTTGACTTACACAACTGAAAGAGCATTTTATGTATTTTTTAATTTCAAAATATTTTTATGCACATACATAAACATTTGTTATGTATATACATAAACAAGAATTTTACAAAAGATCTGTTTTCCCAACTTTATTTGCTGTACTTTTTTTGGCTACACCCTGGTAATATTCAGGGACTACTCCTGACTCTGAATTCAGCAATCACTCCTAGCTGGCTCTGGGTTGCCAGAGATGGAACCCAAGCTAGCGAAGTGCAAGAAAAGCACTTACTTACTGTATTATCTCTCTAGCCCTTATTTTCTAATCTTTAAATAAAAATACTTACTGGTTTCAATTTTCTATCAAATTCTTAACACTGACTAGTAATGACAGGCACGCTTTTCATCAGTTATGAAATTAAAAGCATCTTATCAGAAAAGTAGATATGACAGATCTCTAAACTGGGAAACAAAACAGTATTTACAAAAGGTCACTCTTTTGTTCAGTTTGTTTTAGTTTTGGGACACACCTAATGATGCTCAAGGGTAACTTCTGGCTCTGCATTCAGGAATTACTCCTAGTACTTTATGGGGGACCATATGGAATGCCAGGGATGGAACTTGGGCTGGCTGTGTGCATGGCAAGTGTCCTACCCACTGTACTCTTCTGTATGTCTCCAGCCCCTGATTCAGTATTCTGTTACCAAAACCATGAAAGTCAGTAAAATATTCACTGAATTTTTCATGAGTTACGTCAAGTTAGTGTTCAGATGGAAATGATGTTTGTCTTACAAAAATAAAAATGTTTCATTAAGAATACAATGACAGAGTAATGGTACAACGGATAGGGCACTTGCCTTGCACAAGCTCAACCCTGGTTTATTACCTTGTACCCATATAGTCCCCTGAGCTCTACCAGGAGATTTCTTAGTGCAGAGCCAGCAGTAAACATGGAACACCAAAAGTTGTGCCCCACCCCCCAAAATGAATTACAGTAAAATTCAATATGAAAAAGATCAAGGTAGTACAGTATTTTAGAAGACATATTTCACAAAGAATGATAGAAAAACACTAATATAACTTGAACGATTTTTAACATAAATCAAAATGCAATAATTTACTAAGTTAAAAAAGTGAGTATGAAATTAAGTTGCTTTAATGTAGTAAAATAAGATTTTAGTGACTAATGTTTTTATAATGCATACATACTTATTCACACATTTTAGTTTCTTTGACTTTCTATGAGCACACTCCCATCTCTGGTTTTGGGGGTAGGAAGGGGGAGGGAGAGAAAAGAGAGAAGAGAGAGGAGGAGAGGAGAAGAGAGGAGAGCAGAGAAAAGAGAGAGAGGAGAGAGTAAAGAGAGAGGAAAGAGAGGAGAGAGAGGGAGGAGAGAGGGAGAGAGGGAGGAGAGAGGGAGAGGGGGGGAGAGAGGGAGAGGGAGGGAGAGGGGGGGAGAGAGAGAGAGAGAGAGAGAGAGAGAGAGGCTAAGACCCAAGTAGGAGTTTATAAAAGCAAGGCAAGTGCTTTACTACTAAGCCACATGCTAGCCCCTTCAGTTTCACTTTTTATAGATTCTCTGAAATCCACGTAATAATTTAATATGAACAGAATTCTATTTCAATAATGCATTAAGTTGACACAAATACTTATATTAAAACTAATTATGAGATATTTTATTTCAAAGCAGTCTTTTTCATACACTGCCATTTGGAAAAGCCATGATGTTATACTTACATTTCTGTTACAGATGCCTGCCATTAAAATAAAACATCATCTTCATCAACAGGCAGCCAGTTTGCAGTATCTTCTCTTCCACCATTGGTTCATTCTATACGGCAAAAAACAAAAAACAAAAAACATTTCAACATCAACTTCTCTGAGACTAATTACAGACAAAATGAATAAAGTCGTATGTGTGATCCTTTAACAAAATTCAGTGCCAAGTTTTATCTTCAGAGTAAAAAAAGTCAAGACAACAATACTTGCTTTCAACCTGTTATTCAACACTATGCTAGATGTTCTAGCAGTGCACTTAAATTCTATCTAGAGTAATTGTAACTCAAAAAAAAAAAAGAAATAAAGGCATACGTAATGATGGAAAGAAAGTAAAACTATTTGCACATAGTGAAAGTATCTCTATTTTATGTTTAAATTCTCAGAGAATTCCCAAGAAAAATAATACATTCAGCAAAGTTGCAGGTTAAAGGTCAATGCACTAAAATGTGTTTCTCTAATAGTCAATAATCCAAAAAGAAAATTAAGGTATTCCATTTATACCTGCACCTGAAAGAATAAAATACCTTATAAATGAACAGAGTCCAGGGTTCCAGGGAATTATGCAAAGAGAAAAGTGGAAGGAAAATGATAAGTACTGTATGTTTTCACCTATGTATTACAAAAATATAAAACTGAGGCCAAAGCAGGAAGCCAACAAAATAGCAAGCCTTGACAATAGAATTGAAATAGCCTGAGAAGGAGCAGAAGGTGCAGAAACTTGAAAACAAACAAAAGGCCAGAGGGATAGCACAATGGGCTGGAATGTATGCTTTGCACTGCATGATCCCAAGAACCACCAGGAGCGACCCACAACACGCAGTCAAGAGTAGCCCCTGAGCACAGCTGAGTATGGCCCCAAATTAAAAACAGTATTTTTTTTAAAAAAAGCAAGAATATAAATTAAATTAAAATACAAAATAGCTAGGAGCCCACAACCAGCAAGGCAAAAAACATAATATAAGCTAAAAATGTAGAAGAAATTTTATTTATTGACTGGAAAACTATAAAAACAAGTATTACGCAAAGTGATTTACAAACTTAATCTAAGCCTTATCAAAGTTTCAACAGCTTTTTCTAAGAGATGGGAAAGCCATTTCTCAAATTCAAAGAATAGAGAAATAACAAATACCCAAAACAACATTGAAAAAAAATGATGTTAGATAACTCACAATTTCCAGTATAACATATTGAAATGCTGTAGTACTAAAGGCAATATAAACTGTATAACAAGGTAGACAAACATACTAATAAAAGAGTCCAAACATAAACCCATACATTTTATATTTAAAATGGTGTAAATTCCATTCAATGGGGAAACAGTCTCCTAAAAAAATTCCGAGAAAACTAAATTTCTACATAAGAATGAATTAAGTCAGACCCTTCAAGCTATATATAAAAATTAACTGAAATGGATCCACCAAATCTTAGAATGTAAGACCTATCAAACACTCTACAAGATAAAAGTATAGAGGTTAACTCCCACTATGACATCAAAAACATAGCAACTGAAAAAAATCCCAACAAACTAAACTTCATCAAAATACAAGTTACAAGAGACTGTCCCAAAAAAGTGAAAAGACAATCTACAAATTTTTTACAAATCGTAATAAGGATTTAGTAACTACAAATATAAAGAATTCCTACAACCTAAGGACAAAAGACAAATATTAATGGTGAAAAAACTTGGGTAGATCATTTTTTCAAAGACATGAAAAGGTCTCTAATGCTACGTACATGAAAAGATGCTCAACTTCATATGCCTGAGAGAAATTAAATATAAATCACAATGACTTATCACCTGACACTGATTAGAATGGTACTTCCTTAGGATGGAAAAGGGAAGATCAGGATCTGGGGAGCAGGTGAACAAACTGGAATCCTGATACAGTGTTGTTAGGGCTAACTGGCAAAGCCACTATGAAATAGTTTGACAGTTTTCAAAAGAGTAACATATAAAATTACAATATAATCCAGCAATTTTATGACCAGCTATAAACCCAGAAGAAATGAAAATTGTTCATTTGAGACATTAATATACCAACACTCACTGCAAAATTATTCAAGGAAGGCTAAAGTTGGATACATAACACAAGTGCCCATGAACAAAATGGACAAGCAAACTGTAGTGTATATACAAATACAATGTGCTACTACTTTCATAAAAAGGAGGAAGTTCATATATATTTATGACATGGATAAGCTTATTATGTAAAAGAAGCCAGACACTCAGAACAAATGCTATTTGATTACACTTATATGAAATATGTAAACAGGTAAGTTCAGAAAAAGGAAGTAGATTGGAGGTTAACCGATCTAGGGAAGAGTGTAGAATGATGAGCTAACTCTTTTAGACCAATTTTCACATTCTGTTGACTGAGGCCGTGTGTTACTCCCTTAATATGTTCCTTTATATGGCAAATATGAGAAAGATTATTCTCTGTCTTTATAAAGGCTGACTTCACTCAGCATCCACGAGACCTCTCTAGTTCCATCCATGTGGCAATATGCCTGATTTCAATTTTTTTTTGCCTTTTTGGGTCACACCCAGCGATGCACAGGGTTTACCCTCGCTCTGCACTCAGGAATTACTCCTGGCAGTGCTCGGGGGACCTTATGGGATGCTGGGAATTGAACCCGGGTCTGCTGCATGCAAGGCAAACGCCCTACCTGCTGTGCTATCGCTCCAGTCCGACTTTAAGTTTTTAAAAGTCATTTTAGTTAGCCAAAATGTAAGGAATGAAAGGACAGAGATGGGGGAAGAGAGAAACATAGAGGAAGAGATAACATCGCTCATTTGATTTCATCTTTTCTTAGAGCTCAACTGTATTCCAGTTTCTTATAGCTCAACTATATTCAACTGTATATATATATATATATATATGTGTGTGTGTGCACACACACACACACACACGAACACACACACCTGAGTGCGCTATGATTTCTTTACCCAGTCATCTGTTCTGTTTCCAGATCTCGGTTATTGTGAATAGTGCTGCGAAAAAACATTGGAGCACAACAGGTCTTTTCAAAATAGTGTTTTGGGGTATGTCAGGTAGATGCCAAGTAGTGGAACTGTTAGGTCGTGTGGAAGCTCAATTTAACCCTTTGAGTATAGTTGATGGTGAAAAAGTTTTGAACTGTATGATAGTGAGAGCTGTATGACAGTCAAAATGTAATTAATGATATTAACTTGTATTCTTAAAAGTAGTAAACTGTAAAACAATGAAAGAATTAAAGTCACCCATCTGTTATACTGAAATGTTCCCAACCACTGCTTTCCTACTAGAAGGTATTATGTGCAAAGGATATCATCACATTAACTAAGACTTCCTAGTGACAGGTTACATCCAAGTTTATAACCATTAAATCAAACTTCTCAAAAGATTCCTTTTGTCTAGGGATTTAGAGGCACCAATCAAACTATGTCAGTAACAATCCTTTTTTCTCATTCTCTCCTCCTACTTCACCTTGCCCTGTAAGAGGCAGATTACATTATACAAAACTTACTCAGAATTAAGCATGAATGATGACTAAAGAGGTGGTAAAGGCCTCAAAGAAACAAGACAGGGGAGAACTAAAACATCTTTCAATTTCATGTGCCTCTCAAAGTATGAGATTAGAACGCCCTAAAATCTGGGATGTTAGTAGTGAAAGGCATCTTTCACGTATGTGTCAGTTTATTCCACCAAATGTTTAACAATATTTCTCAACTGAAGAATATTCAAAAGTAAGTGGCTAAGAGGGTTTCTAATTAGCCTGATTTTTCATTTTACTCTTAGTTTAGAATTTGGTCTTTATTATTACTCCCCTGACTCAACTTTACTCCTGTTTCACTACCCTCTACAAGCTACAATTGCATCACAGAAGAATCCACTCACTTCCCTCAGCAGTATTCTTTAACTGTGGATTTTCACACACAAGGCAGAAGGTAACACTTGCATTCTAATATGATTCTTATCAAAAGCACCTTACAACTGAACATAATGACCTATACCTATATTCTTGAACATTAAAGAAACTGACTTTATATTCTCAGTATTAGTCATCCTCCTCATCTTAACTCATGGCACATACTGGAAAATTATGAAAATGAACCATCTAAAACCCAAAACAGAGGTTCTTAAGTCACATATGTAATGAAAACGTTTCTTTTACCAGTAATATTAAAAACAAAAAACATAAAAGTAAGCAATTCACTTATTTAACCCATATATTCAAAACATTACCATTTCCACACTTACTCAATATAACTATTGTGAGATTTTATATTTTTGAGTTTGTGTGTAAACTATGAAATCTGGGATAAACTGTACACTTTATAATAGCACAATTCTATTCACACTAAGTGCTCAATAGCTCCATGTCACTAGCAGCTAGCATATTGGGTAATTTAAACTTAAAATATCATGCGTAAGAATATTTTAAAATACGACTAGTCAATGAACAGAAAAAATTAACTCCTCTCATGGACTAGACAAAGACCAAAAAGAAATTTGCATATTCTATTTGTGATGGACATGGGCTAGATAACCTCAATTCTGCCAAACTGATCCATCAATAATAACCTCTGGGAATTATAATGCTAGTTGGGTACAGTATAAGGGATGACAAAAATATTCTGGATAGTCACGTGAAGTTCTTAGGAAGATTTCTACATTACCTCAAACGAGTGACTTTTTAAAAGTATGTACATGTTGGCAAAGGACTTTTTAGTTCAACCAAAAAAGTGAGGAGGATCTAACTGTAACTACAGGACAAATATCTCAAATTCAACAGTTTCTGAATTACCATAGAAAATTTACCACAATATTTTGACATGTATACTACTAATTACTTAATGGGTTACGAATCCTTCCTCAAGTTAAAATTTATATATAAATGAACTGTTAGTAGGATAATAAAAAAAAATCCTGAATATACTTGAAATTAAATGAAGTATTTCTGCTCCTTATCAATTCAGAAGGGATAAAAAGCGACAGGCCAAATTTAAAAATACATAAAAGTTTAGAAAATATCAGTGAATTTAAATAATTTATTCACACAGAATTAAGTATATCCCAACTATTAATACTATGCAATTTAAAATTTGTGAGCACTTAAATTCATATATGTCTATATAAACCATCATTTTCTCTGAAAATATCGAGGTTTAATTCTAATTCGGCTTTTCAAGTGGAATTCAAGGTTAAAAATATTATTTTCCAAGATAACAAATTCAAATAAATATTTAAGTAATGAAGGAAAAGCAAATAACAGTTTAAATATCAAATTATATTTGAAAACCCTGTATTTTTCAAGTATTAACAGTAAATATTTAATAAAGATTTATTTCAAACAGACAAAACAGGAAGTATTCTTTATAAAAACCCTAAGTGACAGAAAAGAAAAATATCAAATCTACCAATTTTGGTATTCGACCCTTCCACAATGCTTTATGGGGATGGAGTAGAGAAACTGAGTGTAATTTAGCAGATGTATTTAATACTTCTCTTACAAAGAACCAGGTCGGAAAATGTTACTAAAAATCCTACTGTTTCCATCTTTAAGCTTTGTTAAAACTTAACTTAGAGAAAGAACAGGTTGCATTGGGAAACAAAGTCTCCAGTGAAAATTCATTTCAACTTAAAGGGCAATACTTTCTACACAACTTATTTTAAAGAATGATTTCCCTTACTGTGCATTATGTCTCTTAAAAAATGCAATGTACGGCAATCTATGATCCTAACAAATTTCATACTCGTTTTACATTTTCCCTTAAATAGTGAGATTTGTACTTTATTTTAATGAAGCATAAAGTGTGATCAAATACTCTGAGTGTGAACAAATATATCAAACAGAAGTACATATCTGCAACCATTTTGTGAATAAGATTCTGCTGCTAACAATATTTGACCCAGTCCAAGTCGTAATTCTCACCTCCACCATGCCGTAATTCTGAATTATTTAACAGTCATCTAACGACATGTTTTAATTATTGAGAAAAGATAATAAGGCACAAATATTAAATAGTCCATAAATATTCACGTGGCTGAAACAATTCAAATATGATGGTTACCATACCCAGCAAGAATATTCCTAACTCACAATGCTGGCTCCTAAATTCAATTTCCTTGGGTATCACCAGAAACCAGTCAAGAGAATGAAAAGGCTCACCCGGCAGCTTCTGTTATTGAGAGGAAAGGCATTAAAATGCCCAAGTAATGGTATGTTAGGAGTGTCATGCTTAGCAAAGAGCTAATACGCAGACTCACATTTTTTAAACAGAACAAAGTTTTGTTCTGAAATAAAATATTTAAAATATTTAACACTACCTGCCCCTTTCATCCAACAATTTGATGGTAAATGGCATCAAAATACTTCACCAGCTGATATATGTCCTAAAAGGAAAAAAAAATTCATCTTCTTTCTACTCTAATGACTAGCCATTTGAAAAAAGTTTTCCAAAAGTTTTTAACAGGCAGAAAATAACACTATCTTCAAATATTTAATTTCCCTTACATTTGTTTTGTCTACAGCTTACATAGGCTCATTTCAAACCTAAACTCAAAATCAAAGGTCAGTCTTAACAAAATACTCCAATTTAAGACAAGTTCAACAAAATATTCCAATTTAAGACTTACAAAACTAACCAGTACACCTGAAATCTATTCCTAAAGTGGCATTCAAGCTTCCTGTTTTCTCTTCAAAACAGGCCTTACTTGACAGGGTCTCCTGTGTTTCTAGATCAGACAACCCATTTTGAGGGTCACGAAAACATCGACACCAACATCATTTAAAACCCTTTTATGAGTGCGGGTCATTGTCATGATCTCTAATTAAGCCACGTCTTTTAAAAGTCTACCTCGAGATCCATTTATTACAAAGACAAAGCAGTCTGACGCTTCCAGGGTCTGTAAACACAGCCAGCCGACTTCCACGCCAAAGTCACACTTCCCAGCACCCTCCAAGAAAAAGTCCCAAGCGCAGCGGCAGAGGGGTGGGGGTGGAGGCCCGCAGCAGCCTTCTGGCACCTGAAATGTCAATCGTAGACAGACCGAAGGGGGAAAAAAAAAAAGCTGTTCTCTCTCTCTTCTCTGGAAACTCTCTACACCTCAATCCCAGTTTCAGGAAGGCAAAAATGTCACTGAGCAAACAAAAACGGTGCTGCACTTTCAGAACTTGAGCTGGTGCAGCGACCAGCGTCTACAAAGATGCATTTACAAGGCGGGGTGTGTGTGTGTGTGGGGGGGGGGGGGGGGGAAGAGGAGGGATCTAGTTGCCCGAATGAGTGAAACTAAAATAAATAAATAAAATAAAACAATAACAACAGTTCAGCAGCCTTTGCCTAGCAGCCCAAGGAAAAATAAAACAGCTACAACAATAGATGACCTGGACTCTTCCCCCCCATCCCCACCCCCTGCCCCCCCCCCCCCAAACCCCCGCACAAAGTACGGACGTTTGGGGTAAAGGAAGGGAACTCCTGCAGCAGCTGGCAGCCAGAACAAAAGCCACAGCCTGGGCTGTGCGGGAGATGCGCCGCCGAGCTGCATCTCGAGTGGTTCCGAAGCGCCCCCCCACCCCCCCGGAATCGCCGTCAAAACAACCGCGGCGACTCCGACTCCGCAGCGCCGGCTCGGACCCGGGCCCGGGAGGCGGAGGAGGGGGGGCGGGCAGGGCAGGCTGCTCCGCGGAGCTGACTTGCCCGGCACACGGCGGCAGCAGCAGGAAGGGGGCTGGGAGGGAGTGGAAGAGACTCCGGGAGAAAAAAAAAATTAAAAAAAAGAAAAAAAACACAACGCAGGGGCAGGACGCCCCGGCTTCCCTCGGACCCAAGCCAGGCCAAGGGAGAAGAAGCCTGCCGCCGGGGAAAAGAAACAGGGCGCGGGCTCCCCGCCGCTCCTCCGCCGTCCTCAACGAGGGTCACTCCCGAGTCCGGAAGGGCAAGAAGGGTCCCCGAGTTGCAGAGGCCTGACACCACCGCCGCGGGGAGCCGGAGAAGAGAGGGGGGAGCCGGCGGCCACCGAGGCCGGCGCCCGCGGACCCCGGCCGCCAGAGGCTGCGCAGTCATGGCCGCGGCTCCGCCTCTCGCACCCCGACCGAGCCCAGCGCCGCCGGGGCCGCCGGCCGCGGACCACACGCACCCGGCCCGCCCGTCACAGTCCTGCCGACGACGGCCAGCCGAGGCGGGGGCGGCCGCCCGCGAGCTCCGGGGCTGCTGCTGCATCCCGCCGGGCCGTCGGCACCCGCCGCGGCACCCCCCGCCTCCCCCTACCCGGGGCGTCCGACGCCCACGTCCCGGCCCCTGACCCCGCCGCCGCCGCCGCCGCCGCCCCTCCTCGGGCCCGGGGAACGGGGCCGACACACGGAGCGCGTCGCGGTTCCGGGTGACACCGCGGGGCCAGCGCGCCTCTGGCCCGGGCGACGAGCCGAGAGGAGCTGACTTCCCTCGCCCCCCTCCCCCACCGCTCGTCCCTCAACGCCCCGCCGGCGCCGGGCCCTGACTCGCACCTCTCAGACCACAGCCGCGGCCGCCTTGGGAGTCTTTTCTCTTCGGCCTCCGAGCCCCGCAGCGGCCGGGGACGCGCGCGGCCTTCACGTGACCGCCCGTCGCGTTGCGAGGGGCGGGGCCGCGCGGGGCGGAAGCGGCGCCCGAGCCAGTCTCGCCCCGCCCCGCCTCCCCACGCCCCGCCCCCGACGCGCGCCTCGGGTTGCCCGCCTGCTTTCTGCTCTTTGGGAGCCTTCGATTTGACTTTGGATCGTTCCAACGGCTTTCTATACATATATATATATATATATATATATATTATATATGAAACCAGTTTATTTCAGGGCCATATATATCAATATGTAACCAATTCCTGAGGACTACCATCTGTTCTATGATAATCAAGTATGCACAGTGTTTTCTATATATATATAATTAAATATGTGTGTGTGTGTATATATATATATATATGCTTTTCCTGTAACTAGGAACTAGAATGCAAATGCAAATGCGCCAGAGAGACTTCTGGGCCGTTGGAAGTAAGACTCGTGTAGGGCCAGCAGGTGGTGCTACTCAGAAACCCAGCATTCAGACCCAGAAAAAGATTTCGGGACGAAGTGCTTTTAGCAAAGAACTGCTTGTTCTCTTAAAAAAAAAAAAAAAAGGGCGGGCAACTTTTAAGATTGGACGGTTTATTCATCTTCTGAATGGTTGTGCAATTTAATCTGAAAATTGAAAGATTCTTCCTTTTGGGATTCATTTTCCTTAACAGAATCGGGTATTGGAAGTTGGAGGAGAAAAAAGTGAAGTCAGTACAACAACCGAAAACTAAAGTTTGGTGCATATGTTTGATTTTAAACTTCAAAACTCTGGCATTCAAACCCTCCATTTGATTTTAAACATGGTCAGTTCTTACTGGAATTCACTATTTCCTAAATTTCAAGTGAAATTAGTTAGAAGAGCAGGCTTTTTTTTTTTTAAAAAAGGAAATATTTCAACAACATTCCAGTACCTTATGTGCAATGCTATTGCATTTTGATATCTCATTGTTTATTCGAGATTGGAAAATTTCATCAAACAGAAATTTGTTATTCCTCTGAAACCAATTTATTTCAGGGCCTTTTCATCCATATATATCAATATGTAACCAATTCCTGAGGAGTACCATCTGTTCTATGATAAGTATGCACAGTAATTTCTATAATTATACATTTTTATTACGTTGTTACGTTTCTTTTTGAGCCATATAGTTATACTCATCCCACACACCCTATGAATAGATAATAACAACATTTAAGTTTATATGTACTTTAAGATTCCAAATTGAAAATATACTAATATTAGCATTTGCTAAAACACTGTTATAAATGCTTTACACTACCTACACAATCACAATGAGATAGTTACTGTTGTTATCCCCATTTTTACAAAAGGCATAGCCAAGACTAGAATCCAGATATTGAATAACACACTTTGCTGTAAGAGATAATTTATCTCTTCGTCTTTATCAATTAGTAAGTGACCTGCTTAAAGACTTTTTTTTTGGTCTAATATACAGTGAGAATTCGAACACAGGTATATTTCAAGATCCATACATACTTTAGAATAAGTTAAACACAGTTCTTCAATTCCTCTTGGCACCTATTTGGAATAGGTCTCTAAATTATTTGTAGTCTTTTCACTTATTACATACATAAAAGGAATGAATCAACATGAATCCCAATACAACGCCCTTCCATGCTTCACCATGATCTTAGTTACCTGAGTGAATAACTTTGTTTTCTCTTGTCTATCTTGAAGTCCTCCTAAGAGTGTGGTGTGACACATCCTGGTATTCAGGGGCTACTCTTGGCTCTGAGCCTAAGAGTGATCCCTCACAGTGCCTAGGGACCATATGGAGTTGCCTGGGATTTGAACCAGGATTGGCTCTAACCAACCCGTTAATTTCTCTCTCTTAAATCCCATATCCTTATTTTAGATAATTTGTTGGCTTTCTTCAATATATAATAAGAATCCAGCAACTTGCCACCTCTAGTACAACCTACATCATCACTTCCCTTGGATTATTGTAATAGCCTGGGTCTGATCTTCCTGTGTAGAGTCTATTCTAAACACAGAGGCCAAAACAAAATGATTGCAAGGAAAGTTATAGCATGCCACTTTTCACTTTTCTGTTCAAAACTTCTCATGGCTTCTGCAAGCAAAGTAAAAATTCAACATCATCTTTTCCATCTGTCCTCTACTAATCACCTATTTAAAATCATGACATCCTCCAATCCCAAGATTTTGTATTCCCCTTGGCTTTTTCTCCCAGTCATTATCACAATGTAAAGAATGGTTTTGCTTGCTTAGTCACCTTTACTCTGTGTCTCTCTCCAACACGAAGCATAAATCTTTCAAGGCCATAAATTGGTGTTTGACTTTATATACGATCTTCTAAGATTAGGGTCTGGTACATTGATAGGAGCTTTCTGTAAATGTATGTTAAATAATGTTCATATAAATGAATGCATATGTATATGTATTTACATATGAAGCAATTGATGCTGCTCTTTCAAGAAATCAAGGCAATTTCTTAATATTTTTCAACACTTGTATATAAAAAGGAGAACTGAATTATGGGACAGTATGTATCCCACCCCTACCAGCAACTTGGAAGAAAGATAGTGGAATTTCTATGAATAGTATTGAACAGCATTTCTCAACTGCTTCAGAAACACTTAAAAGTCTATTTGTTTTCAGAAATTGTGAAGATGCCCAAACTTTCCATGATTTCCTTAAATAGCCAGAGTCTTAGCAATTAGGATATCTCTATAATAATTTTACTGCCCCTTGCTCTCTGTTCTGTTTCATTAAATCAAAAATAAAGGAATTGCAACAGACTACTAAGAATTGCTTATTGTGTATAAAATATTGTATCTCTCATAAGGGATAAAATATTTAATGAAAACCTCATATTAGTCCCATACATTCCTTCTCTTCCATGCTATCCTCAAATACCTCAAAATGTTTTATGCTAATAGTTTTGCTTCATGATCAAACTATTTTATCTTTAGTAATTTCTAAAGGCAACCATTGAAAACATTCATAAGAAAAGTTATTGATGTAGTTAGTTTGGATTTCAAAGTGTATTTTAGCATTCACTGACAATCCTTGAGGAATTGTCAGAGGGACCTGGAAGTGAAAACTGTGTTGATGATACTAAGTCTCTAGTTACCTTGTTTCTATCCCTTTTCTCCTTCCCACAAGTGGAGTTTTCCCCCAAAAAGTTACTTATGTGTTGTGACAGATGGTTAGGCTAGGCATTAAAACAATTTGAAAAATGTAAAATAATGGCACTCTTCTATGTTTAGCTTTGTTTTGAAAGTACAATTATTTTTTTAAAAAATTTAATTTATATATTTAAATTAGCAATTAATGTGTTGTTTCAATGTTAATAGATATTTTAAATAGTTCTGTTTTAATGTCTAATTTTGTAAATATTGATACATTGATACATTGACAAGTGTGTAATCTCACACAAAAGGGACACGGCACACAGCGGTGGTGGCTCTATCTCTCCCACCGCCCGCGTTCGTTAGTCTCACCCTTCTCCCACCCCAGGGAGGTCGATGGCGATGGTCAGGTGGAGGAAGGAAATGAGGGCCAGACTGGTTGGTCTTAGTCGCAGTTTATTCCAATCCTCTCTCCATCTACACCAGTCTTTCTTCTCTGCCTCGGCCCCTTTTCCCATTCTACAATCTCATTATATCTCTCTCCAGGAGGAATTGGGGGAACAATTACACATAGGTGTGGTCACAATTAGTAGGGGTAGAAATCTTAGCCTCAGGGAAAGCCGCTCCTAGGACAGATCCTTTCTCAGCAGGATGACCCACCCTAGAGCATAATCCCATGGGCGTGCCTCTCCTCTCCTTGTCCGACAAGCATATAAGAATATATAATATAAAACATTTTGTATGGATACAGTAAGAAATATCTTAAACTTATAGAATTGTTCTCCTAGGGCCATCTCGATCTCAGACTACAGTGCTCAGGCCAGATAGTCTTTCCCACCCCTAGCAGGATCCTAGTCTCGACGTTACTTTTGGATCATAACAGCATTTGTCTATCTATGATCAAACTCTTAACTTATAGTTAAGAATCATGGCACTTTGACCTGGCCCACTTCGATGCCAGGGTAGCTCACCACTTGCCCTGGGTCCATTCAGTCCCTCGTCGGGACCCTGCTTTTGGGGTGTTAGGAACTAAGGGCAACTGAGGCTTAAGTTGAGAAAGCAGATGCCCAGGAGTGAATAATATTCAAAGCCAATCAAATCCTAAGTTACAAAGCATAATGTTAACGGTCTTCCTGTATCTATACAAAAAAAGGCATTGCTTTAAAGTAAACTGTTCATAAGGCATAAGGAGAGGAGAAAGGCAATATTTCATTCATACATATAAAATCATAGATTTCTGGGAATCTGACCTTACAAATTAACAGAGTCTGATTAGGGGGAAAGCTGATTAACTGGGTGGGGAGGGGAGCATAGGGAAGACTGTTTACAGATAAACACAATGGAATGGAAGTGCCTCAGGAGCACTGTGATGGGCGTAACCAGATAAACCGAGGCTTCTTGTGGAAGAAGGACAAAGCAATGTCACCCTACAACTCCCCTTTTTCTGTTTACAAAAACACAAAAATTTGAAATAGAAAGAGTAACAATTACAAACAAAAAAGTCTCATTTGTTGGACTTCAATCCACCCCTGAACCCAACATCTCCCCCTTTTCTGTTTACAAAATGCCAAAGATCATAATAGACGGGTCAGGGACTCAGTATTAGCTAGTCTTTTCCGAAAGAGGCAGGATCCTATAACCAATAGAATGAACATGATCAATAAGGCCATACCAGCACTACCAAGAGCGTGGGTAATGCTTTGCCACCATGACCTCGGGTCAAGGCCCTGTAAGGCATCCGCAATACCCTGGGCTAAGTTTTCATACTGAACTCCTGGGAGTTTATCCTTAAACACCCGAACAATCTCATCCTGAAGGGCGAGAGCATCTA